TCAATAGAAAAAACTAACAATGATATGGGCACGGCCGATACCTTAAAATTGATTCTCACATCCAACAAATAGTAAACCAGAATGTCTCACAGCCAATAGAAACTATTATTTTGCGTACGTTTATGTTGGACGTTGTGAATACTGGAGTATTTCACTTATGTTAATGCTTATGTTAATTACACTTATGTTAATGTGTATGCGCTATTCTTATGTTTACGTTTTCATTGTGAATGGGTCTTACCACTGTCCTAATTCCCTCTCAATTCTGGCCGCTGGGTAGTGACACAGGAGCGCATATAATGAGGCGCGTACGCGGAGATGCTACCTGGCGGTCCTCTAGACAACAGACTGTCTACTCTTATGGATACTCGAGCGTTAAAATAAATAATGTGGTCGCTAATGACCTAGTAGTTCTTGTGACCTTATTTTTTTGAAAAGAAAAGGGAGAATATAAATAAGGCAATCATTTTTTAGTTCTTTGTAAACATTTTCTTAGAGATTTTACACATCATAATAACGTGGATACGCTCTGAACAGTTCATCTGGAGAGTATAAGTAGTGATTTGGTGCAATATTGCGAAAACCCTTCAAGCGCCAATAGATGGCAGGTGAGAAGAGGGTGGGGCAAAACTGAAAAGAAAGCCCAGAAAAGATAAGGAAACTAACTAGTAGAAGAAAATCCGTGCTATTTTGCAGTACCACTAGCTTCAAAACGTCCTACCGTCTGTCCGTCCGTCGTGAAGTACACTAGCGTCTCAACTATTCGAAGTATTTTTCCACTCTAATCAATAGTGATTTTTTCCTCAATAAAATCTGTTCTAAACTAATTGTATTTTCTCACTTCAGTAAATGTAATATTAACGTAATATTATCAGTTGCGGTTCGTGCTTAAGTTGCAAACCCCAAATAATCAAAAACAAAATCTTATAATGTGTTAGATATACACATTTTTCGTTTCATGACATACAATATTTAAGATATTGCAGCATTATCGATGTGTTCGAAATCATTTTGAAAACAAAGAGCATTCATCGAGCGCTTCGTGCGATCCCAGACACCGCGCCGATGTCACCGAATAAGGCTTTTACTGGCTTTACTCTTTGGCCACTCTTTTCTATGCCTCAACAATGGACCACCGTTGTGCCAAGGCTATCCAGGACCATCCGCGTCCCCGTCGTTTTGGCCAACAAGCTGTGGCCTTCCTCAGATCGTACAGCTTCAGCAGTACGCTCTGAGGAAGGCCACGCTCAGAGGCATGTTGGCCGTCACGTCATTCACCACGATAGAGTGGCGGCGTGTCTCGGATAGCCTAGGCCAGGGTTGTCCAACTGGCGGCCCGCAGTGCCATTTAGTGTGGCCCGCGAAGTGTTATTAGTCAAACGTGAAAGTTCATTGCATTCATGTCGGGCGAGAGCATTGTGTGCACAGCGCACGCGGCCTGTCGATGTCATCCTCCTCTCTGATGTAAAAATAGGTAAAGTTGAGATTTAAAGGGGAAAAAATAAGGATTTTTTTCTTGCAAATTCAGAACTTCAAAATCATCCCAATGTGTTTCACGCATGATTCTCTCCCCTCTCCCTCTCGTTTCAGAACAGCCGGGCAAACTGCCGAGATCAACAATTCGATATCAAATGTGAATCCTCCGGGTAATGAAAATATGACCGGCAACCATATTAAAGGTTATAGTTGTGGCCCTTGAATCCTTCTAAGTTGGACATCTCGGCCTAGGCAATGCAAACTTCGGTCGCGGAAGCCTACGCAATCAATGGGCCACCGTTGTTTTCGCGATAGGATGTTCTGCTGCAGGGGTGTCCGACTTCCAAGGATTCCAGGGCCACAGCAAAAACCATCAGTATGGTTGCGGGCTATTTTTTCATTTCCCGGAGGATCCACGCGACCCTGTATTGTAGATTGATAGTTAGTGATTCCGAGCACGTTAACTACTAAGGTAATTAGTCTCATAAGTGTAGTGCATGTTTCTGCTAGGGATGTGGCGGTGGTCTTTCCCTCTCCTCCGGCGAGATCCGGTGCCGACCTACCGTAGGCTAACGGGGTTTTCCTCGGTGAAGCTCCCACCAGCGGGGTACCGCCCAGCCGGGACAAGCTCTTAAGCTCCCGACCGGCCTCCCGGCATGTGTGCGTGTGTAGTGCGTATTAGTGCAAGTGTGTCAGTAAGGTGAGAAGACAGGACAAGCAAGAGGTAGGAAAGATCGCACGCGGTCTGTGGCCCGTTTGGTAGGGTACTGCTCCGGCATTCGCCTGGCGTTGATCGGAGAAACCACGAAAAACTACCGATCAGAGCAGCCGGCCGCTAGAATTCTGCTCTAGACAGTGACTGTAGGACCTCCCGGTCAGAGTGAGTGCAGTGACTTCAGTTGATGCCCTGAGTCATTTCTCTCGATCCCTGTATTGTCGATATCGACAGTTTGCCTGAATGCTCTGAAACGAGGGGGAGGGGAAATCATAGAACTATGCTTGATATCAGGTTCTACAATTCGTAACGCAGTTAAACATATTGGGATGATTTTGAATTTCTGAATTTACAAAACAAAACAAAACAAAAAACAACAACAAAAAAAAAGAAACATAAATCTAAAATTACTCTATACTACGCCTGCGCTAAGCGCGAAATGTTCTCGCCCGTCATGGACGAAAGGGACTTAAACATTTGTCTAACAACCTTTGACGGGCCCCAATAAATGGCCGCCAATTGGACGACCCTATTCTGGAGCCACCGGCAGAGTGGTGTCCACGCAGATTACAGGGTAGGGGTTCTTGCTAGCGCGGATGGGGTCCTTGGATTGAACTCCGAGAGGAATAGCAATTTTCTGACTTCGGCTGAAACTAACTACTTTATGAATTCCGCATGTTATTAAAAGTACATGACTTCAGTCAATTCTTGACGGTATTGAATGCATTATTTGTTTTGTTTGGCGAAATTATTTTCATTTGATGTTAGGTTTGTTGATTCAGAATGTACATTTGATGAGTGTAGTTTATTTTGTAATATGTTACCCGTTTTGAAAGAAAATCCCTGTTTCTGTCCCTCTTCTTTTTCAGGGTGTGGGGTAATTTCAAGATCACTTGTTGAACAATATTAAGAAACTAATCTGGATGAAACAGTCATCTTTGTAAGAATCTATTAATTATTGCTTTAATTCAGTTTGGAACAAATTGTTGATCCTTCTGCTACAGTAAATTCTTTATTTCAGTTTGTTTGTTTGTTTGGAAAAGTATTCTGATCAACATATCATAATACTATTCTGACTTTCATGGGTTCACAATTTGCAGGAGTTTGACACATTTCCATTGTTTTGTTATATTGTAATTTTGTTACAGTTTTTCAGAACCAAATATTTCATAAGCAAAAGAACTAGAAAATCAGTTAATTTTTTTTGTTTATGTAAGACAGTTATGAAAAGCTATCTGATATAATTACTCTGAATCATAACATTCCAAAACAAATTATAAGAATGCTGACTTGCCATAATGTGCATTTTGCCAAATACATGTGTACAGTAAAATTACTTACATGATTTTATAATTTATATACATTACAATACTTTTATCTTTTTACTTTATTAATTCATTGAAATATTATTACTTAGTACTTGTGGTTAATAGCTAAAAGATTGAATAATTTTAAAATTGATGTACATTTTGAAAATTTACAAGTAATAAAAAGAGAAAACAAGAGATTCTAATTCAGTTCCCATTATTTACTATAAACACTAAAACACATAAGATAAACTTACTACTACACTATAAACATTAAAATGACACTATAAATATTTTTGAACTAACTGGATTCTAACTAGCTTGATCTAACTAATCAATTTTGATTCCTCTCAAAAGGACAGCGGTTCTCAGAAGTATGTTTGTTTGTCTTAATATTTTTTTAAAATAGATTTAAGGTCTTTTATTTCACCATCAAAAATTATTGAAGAACATTAAACACTGTTAAATATAAAATAAACTTCTAAGTGTAAGTTAATGATCATATATTCTGCGTTTCATTCCAATGGGTTTAGTGAAAGAGTAATATTGTATTTAGCACAATGTCTTTGGTTTATATGAGCAGAGTTTTAACTAACATCTCTGTTCTTTTTGTTTCTTTAAAAAGTGTGAAAGTTTTATCTCGTATCACACTGAACACAGGTAGGAATTTTAGCGACTTGTGCTCTTGGGCATACAAACAATTCTCACTTTATGCATGACAATTTAGCATGCTTTCTGTACTAAATACCAACATTGGAAGTGGCTTCTCACCTTTTTGCTTAGATGTCAGTTTGTGAATAACCTAAGCATTCACGAAGGTCTTGTCAAAAATATGAGTAAGAAGCAATCAAAACAACTTTTTTCCCATGATCTCAATTCAATGCATTGAAACATGACCTACTTGAAAGTAATCAATCATGCAAATCGATAGCATCCCTTTATTGTAAGATATTATTACATTAGACTGAGGATTTGCGGTATTTTTCTTTTTCTGGATTAAATAATCATGCTAAAGACACTGGATGAGAAGAATCATAATTTAAGTAATGATACTGTTATTATTCCATTTATGGAGATATTATGTTTATTAAAATAATGAATGAAAGTTTCTCTACTAGTTTTCTTCAATTCCTTGTTTGACATTATAGAACACTTGGTCTATTTTTCCTTACAGTGGAGTGCTTAAAAAAATATTTCATATCCCAAGGATTATCTATTATTAGCAGTAAATCCTCCACAATAGTCAGGTCTACAAGAATCTTTTTTTATGTATATTTTGTCTACAGTACAAGTGAAATTGAATAACCACTATCATTACATACATTTGGAACAAAATTCCAAGTTTCCTACATTACTCAGGCAAATGAGTTATAATTAATAACGTCACACAGTAGAAATGTAATAATAATTTCACACTTTTCTTACTCACTAAATCAAAAATAAAATTTGAAATATTATTCTATTCATATTAAGTTCTACTAATATTACTACATACTTACTTCAAAAACAGTAGTGATAAAGGATTTGCATGATGAAATTATATTTACAAAAAATATATTATTTTAATTAATGTCATTTTTATATTTATATATTCTGTTGCATATGCAGTACTTTTATAATTTATTCATTCCAAAAATTAAAACTGCAATGAACTGTGATTTAAAACATATTTAATTCATAGAATTCAATGTACCAAACTATACTTTTAAGGAAGCATGTTAGCATTCTTACCCTCTTTAAATTTCAATAATTATGCATTAAATTAAATACTAATATTATCTAAATTTTATATGTAGCTAAAACTTCTTAATTCTAACTGGATTAAAAATCTTGACAGAACATACTGTATAGTAGCAGGAACATTGATAGAGGAAATACTAGTTATTACATATGCCTAGATGGAAGGAATTATTTACAGCCATTTTTCAACAATTAATAACATGAGATGTCCTTTATCCTTAATTGGAAACAGGTTTCTTTTTTGTAAGGCAAAATGACCCACAGATTTCACAAAGAGTAAGTAGAAATATTATTAGCAAATCACGTAAGCAACCTTTATTATTTCCACCAACAGTCTTTTACTTTCTTATATTTATATTATAATGTTTTTTTTGTTTGTTGTAATGATTTTGCTCTGTTTTCATGAAATAATAGTCTGTTTTTCTTTCAATGACCTTAGCAGGGGGGAACTCTAAGCCATTCTTTGGAAATTTTCTATTAATTATTAAGTTAAATACAATTGCCATTCCTTATTCTATTATAATTGTATAAAATTCAAACTTCTGGGATACTGTTCTGAAGAATGAAATTTTGTATTAATTTCTCTGTGGGATATTTAAGTTCATCCTTTAAAACCTTGAATTCATACAATTATTCTTTTTCAGTCTCAGATTTATAGTATCAGTGGTAAATATAGTAATTCTCTTGTTCAAGATAGTTGGAAGAGATTCACCAATCGAAGACCACAATATTACAATGGAGGCAATTTATATTGATGGATCTGGAAAACTCTCCACAAATTCCATTATGTAAATGTGATAAGATATTTGTCTACCAATATGGAGAGAAGATCGTTGGATGATTGCTACCTGTGTATAAAAGAGACTATGAGTGACTTGAGAGTGAAAACAATCATTTGCAGCTTAAATTCATTGTTTCATATAAAAGAGAATTTTTGTGTTCTAATAGACAATAATGCCAAACACCATCCTTAAACAGCTGCACCTTTACCCACTTCCAAAAGTGGAAGGCTACCTATCCTTATTGAAAGAGATTAAGGGGAAAAAAGACAAAAAAATTATGTTTTTGATAAAAAATGTAATACCTGTAATAATTTCCTTATAATGGCAAACATTTCGAAGGGCATGGGTATGAAAAATAAATTTTTTGAACATAAAACATTTTTCTTCTCTTGCATGTATTTTTCAATTGTATTAAAAATTTTAGAAAAAAGTTCATTAAATAACATTTCTTTATTACACAACATATATTATAAAATCATCTACAAATGTGTTAAATTATTTCTTAGAACAAATCAGCCAGAAATGTTTGTGGATCACAGTAATGCTGGCAGCATACAGGTGACAACAAGAATGTACCTGAAGAGTACTTAATAAGAATACTGTTTTATTGACGGTGAAACAAGAAACATCTACTAAACATTGCAATCCAAGTATGTGGCAGCCTAACATGAATTAAATTTCTTGTAACTACTTTCTGGGCCAATCACACTTTCAACAGTTTTATAAGTGTGCCATTCACACTAATACAATAAAACACATGTGCATTCCACAAAAGTAAGGTTAATTTCAATTTTGCACTATAAAATAATGTGTAAACAGAAGACATTGTGAAATATTTATTTTGGAATTCTGATATTAATGACAAAACAGTACATTTATCTATATTGAATATCACTGAATTTTAGTACAGAAACACTAGTTTAACAAAAATATATTGATATATTCATTAATAAAGTTTACTTTCCTCATACGGAAATATGTGGATTCATTAGAAATAGTAGTCATATACTAGAGTACTGTATCATGAAGTCAAATTATATTACGTTACAGAGGAAAATGTCCTCATCTCACTCAAATGTGTTCAAAATACATTATTATCCCATTACTTATTACTGGCACAATTTTTCTGAAAGTGATCAAGCATGTACAGAAGGTAGAAGAAAAGAAAAACAAATAATTAAATAAGAAATTTTATGCATTTAGTTAGTTCATTTCCTTATTCTGGCTAATTAGGCTGTTTCTGTATTGTCTGTGGCGTTCCATAAGCAATGCAAAATATTTCCTTAAAAAATAGTATTTGAACGGAATAACTAGACTATTCATTTCATTTTATTATGAATGTCCTGGATAACACACAACCTTTAATTATCATTTGCCTAATCATAGTATTATGTTGGACATGAAACATTCACATGCCTGACATTTGAAGCGCTGACAAATGCCATCCTGTGCTCAGACATAGAGGTAGTACGCACCACTATTTGCTGAGCTGCATCTCTGAACAAACATGGTTCCATCAAACCTCAAACATACCATAACAGCCCAACTGGCCAGATTTATGATCACAAGGCAGCAGAGAACTCAGGGACGATTCTGCCTCCAACATGTCTCCTGCTGAACAAGAAAGATAATACTTACTCTTCTGTATTGTTTTAAATTTATGTTGTGGACTTATTAGTTAATTTGTCATTTAGTGGGCAAAGTTAAAAGTTGAAGTAAGTTTTTAAACATATTAATTAAGGTACTAATAGTTTATTACATTTTTCTTTAATTGTTGGAGCAAAGCTTCTTCTGATGATATTACAAGAAGTCTCAGTTTGTTGTCAAGAAAGAATGTTTAGAAGATATTTTCTGAATTATTATGGGAAGACAATTTCATGTTATATTCATGGAAATAATACAGAGCAGTGATAAAGAGTTTTTTACTAATGGCACTAAATTGGAAGCAGGTATCTAAGCTATACATTCAACTTTTCACTTTGTCCAGTAGATGGTTTAAATATGTTATCATTTTATGTTTATGTATTAGAAGATGCAATGTTTACAAACATTTCATGTTTGGTAGTCATTTCTTTATTTAACATTTAGAGGGCAACATTTATAAATTTTGGGAGGAATTTTGTTAGGAAATTCAACTTGTTTTCTCTTTTATTGATAAGGAAGTGGAATGCTTAGGAATGTTAATTTTCCACTTATTAAGTTTGGGTTGGGGCCAAATACACAAAATGAAAAAATCTATTTCAATGTGCAGCAAATCTATTTTGATGTAGTAAAATGCATGTTCTTTCTCTACAATAACAGTAAAATAATTATAATCCTGCACATGGCAATTAAAAAACAACAATAACAGATTAGAAATGCTAACTGAAGGAGCATTCTCAATGTAGGAATACATTGTTCACCATTAAATAGGAAGAGTATAATAAAACTTTTATTTTCAATAAATCACACAGATATAACATTGTGATAAAATAAACTCATTTATTATTAAGGAAACTTAAATACTTTGAAATTTAAATGTCTGTGGAAATATTTACCATTTGTTGATATAAATCACTATCCCACAAACAGCATTTCACTTTTGGAATATTTTGCAAATTATACAATGTTTGAAATGACTATGTATTGGAAAAGATTAATTATTGCACATAGAAGACTGATTTCAAATATGTACCATAAATTTTGTGTACTATGTACATATTCACACAATATAATTTACTCTGAGTAATAAAATATTACATCTTACTAGAGTACATACTACAATACTTAGCCACATAAATATATAAAGAAACAAACACCACGTTAAAGAATATTTATTGGCCCATTACTTCTTAGTGTGAAGAAATATTAAACATCTTCTGCACTATAATGCTGATAAAGTTATATTGCTTTGATAAATATAGGCTCAATATGAATAAAACCGATTATCATGAAATCACAGTTAGCTACTGATATCTTTGGTAGTTGTATACTGAAATGGATTCTCAAAGTTAATTATGAATATAATTGTAAAATAATTTGTACATCCTCCTTTGTAGAAGCATCTTTCCCATTTTCACTTTAAAACAATATGGCCACCAAACTATGACTTATTACAAGTATTTCTATGCTACAAATTATAGTTTGGTGTGCTTTACATTATCTGTCCAGTAATTCTGAATTGTCATTGCTTCCAGGCTGTTCAGGAAGGAATCATTGTCCAAACTGTACATTTCTTCTGAATTTTCCTGTAACAAAAGTATTGGGTCAGAGATATAATGCCAATATAATAATTACATTCATCATGTATGTTTTGGAATGTTATGAATAAAATGTTGAGCTATGTTGGAATGTTATGGAAAAATAAATTATTAATTTTTCTTGAAAATGAAGCAAAACCTACTCTTAAGGTGCTGTCATCGATGTAACCACTGGAATCAGGGTTGCTGCATTTGTCGTTCAGGGTCTGTGGTTTATTTAGGTATCTGCGCCGATATAGAATGAAGCTCACTGCTCCTGCAAGATAAATCACAAGTAAAGTTAGCCGTGTAATTCCATTCAGTGAGCATTACAACGTTACCCCCACACAACTCACCTGTAAGACCAGCAAATACAACAATGCCTAAAGCAATTCCTGTGATCGAAGCTGCATCTAGCCCTCGATGCGGGATGTCTGGTGGGGAGGCAGCCACTCGACTTCCACTCACAGGAGCCACACTGGGCTCCACTGTTGTCTCTACATCATGACTGTGAGAAGCAGATCTTCCAATAAATTCATGAGTGTGAAGTGGGGTTAAGTTGATTGCCTCTTCAGTGTCGGACAATGTTGTGATCCTCTGTGACAAACTGCTGTCGAAAGGAACTGATGGTTCAGGGGATGAACTCTCCTTGCGACCTACACCAATGGTACTCATTACCATAGGATTAGGAGTTACATTTTGAAATGAACTGTTAACTGTAGATGTTTGTGAACCCTCTTTATCAGGCTGAGAAGCTTTTATTGAAGAATTTACACTTATACCAAGATTTGTTCTGTTGGAATCAGAGGCCAATTTTGAGCTACCACTTTCTATATAAACCCTTCGGTTGGCTGGTTGTTCATTTACATTTTCAACAGAATGGCTTTTGGAATTGTTTTGTTTTGATGAAAGAGATGTATTGTGATTAATGATGGAATGATTTCCCTTAATTGGTTCGCTATTTTCATGTAAAATTTTCACATCACTGTTCACTTCTCCTTCTTTTGAAAGTGTCCTGTTTTCCTTTACATTAATAGGATTTTGCACACTTTTATCTTCTTCAACTTTATCTGGGTTAGCAACATGCTCCTTTTTTGTTTCAGAGGAACCAGCAGCAGATGAGTGTGGGAAAGATCCTATAGCTTTACTACCTCTAACACTTTGACGTACTAATGTTGAATTTCCAAGATCTGTGGAATTACTTCCATGACTAGATAAAATTGATAACAACACAGGCTCGGATGCATTACGTAAGTCTCTTATAACAAGTCTTTGACTTAGCTTCCTATTCTGTGTGAGGGCATCACCGTTTGGGTTAGAAATACTTGAATTCTGAGAAAAAGATGAATTTTTAATGAAGTTCTGATGCTCATGATTTGCATTTACGAATATGGAATCTTTTTGTGAGATACTATCATCAATCTTCTTTGGTGTAGAGTTCTCAAGATCTGATGCTGTGCTAGAAAAGAATTCCTTTTCTGATGTCACAACAGGAGATAATTCAAGAGGGAGAGCGCGAGGCTCCTCTAATATCGGAACTTCTCGATTTAAATACGAGACGCTATTCACTGATTGTTCGTTACCAGTACTTTGTAACACATTTTCCTTCTCTACTTTCCCTAACTTTATGGAATTTTGCACAGTGAGTTCTAGTTTTGTTGTTTGTTGACTGTAGCTCTGCAAAGAGAATTCAGTGGGTTTTCCATAATTTTGATGAGGTCTCTCTGCAGAACTTAGCCGATATGTTTCTGAAACGAGTTCTTGACTTGATATGGTTTTTTGTGTTATTGGAATGTTTTCAGTTGGAAGATCCCTATTGGACATATGATCACTTGATGCAGTGGTAGGATAAAAGGGCTCTTCTATATCCGGTGAACTTGACCACACAGGACCTCCTTCATACACAGCAGTCTGTCGATGCTGCTCAATGTACACTGATGTTGGCCTGCCGTTGGTAACTGTAGGATCATTCCCTGAGATCCAGCTAGTGGCAGGAGGAGTTCGAGAATTGTGACTGCTGTGTACTTGTGGGTCGAGAGTACTGGCAGGGAGGGGGACAGTCTGGACTGCTGCCAACAGGAAAATCAGCTGCGTGGCAACTGCAACAAAATTAAGAAAGCATTAATTTTTTCATCATGGCAAATGTGATACAATTAAAACAAAACTATGAAGGAAAAATGAATAATAAATCTACAATAATAGCCATTGAAAAAACAATGGCTTGAAATGGCAGATGCCCCAATTAATCCTTCGCCTCGGTCGGGCTCAATGAATACACGTGCTGTACTAACTATAGCTCGACCACTTAGAAAAAAATCCATCATGGCATCGCTTACGTCGGGAGGCGTGGCTAAGCCACCCCCCACAGCTCCCGAGGGGGAGATTGCTTGAACTCAAGGACCGTCTGCAACGATAACCGATTCGCTCTTGCAACTTAGTTCTCACGCTTTAACATTCTAGGGTTCGGGGCGTTCGTCAAGGCAAGTCTGTCTTCACCCACCTCGCGCAGGCTGAGGTGGAGGCGGATTCGGCGGCGGTGGCTCCTCAAGGTGGGGGAGTTGAGCCTCCAAGAGAAGGAACCTTCCCCTCCGCCACCTTTCGCGCAAGCGCAGTCCAGAGTGTTTTTTTTAAGTGGCCGAGCTATAGGAGCAGTGCCTCACGTCACAGGCAGACAAGGAGCTTGTGGAGACCCCCTCCCCATTAACAAAAGTTGTGCAATCACATTAAGTTCATGGTCACGATCACTTCTTTTGTAGCTGAAAATCTAAGAGAACGAATTTTGTATTCAGGAAAATGTCGAAACTAATCGAAATCAAAGTACTTCGCACCTCGCTAAATGTGTCAATATGTTGCAACCGGGCTTGGCGGATATTCTATAAATGACAACGCTAGTTTCGTTTCGAACGTTCTTGCGGCAAAGATTCTCACACAAAAAAAAAACAACCTTTGGCCACGGCACTGGCTCGAGAACAACGCCTCGGCGTAGGGCGCCGTCCCCATCCACCTCCTCAAAAAAGAAAGTTGGGTCATCAACACGGTCATGGTAATGGCTCTTGCGTTTGAAAATCTAAGCAAAATAATTTTATAGTTATATACTAAATTTGTGTTTGAATATGTGTCAATACAGTATTTCGCTACCGGGTTTTGAGAGATGGCACCACTTGTTCAGTTCTGTACGTTCTTACCGTAAAGCGAGCCCCAACGAGCGCCTACAAAACAAGCCTTGGTTTATTATCCGCGCACGTTTACTTGAGCCCTCATTTCGCTAGTTACAAAAGAAGTGGGGGTTTGAATATATTGACGACAGAACTATTACATGATATCGTTGTAGCTCGTTTTTCGACGCAAAGTAGTTTCTGTTACACGGAAGCAAACATTTCTGTAAATATTTTTTGTCAACAACGTTTATTTTTAACTAGTTGACCCTCCTAGCAACGTGATTGTTAGTCACGTTTTACGCTATGCTGCGCAAAAATTCTAATTGGCGAAGGAGTTCATCGCTAGTATGCGTTTTTTCTACGGCTTGGTTTGGACATGGTTGTCAAGTATTCTATTGTTAAAACGTTCTCCTTTGAATTTTAGAATGTGTTTGCTGTCACTATCTTAAATAAAATTAAATGACTTGCCCGAGATTCAAATAATAATTCCGACCGATATTTCATTACATAGGCAGAATTCTTGCGCGTAATCATGACTGTACGGCGAGTTACGTAGAGTCAGTTACGCTTGAGTAGTTATAAACGAATAAATCTTCATCAACAACAACGCCCTCATATGTCCGATTTAAACACTCCAATTACTATAAAGAACAAAGTGTGGGAATTGTAGCGAAATTAGTCGAGTAGTTTTTGCGTCTATGTGCGACACATACATGCACATTCTATTTTATTTATATGTTAATTTAAACAATGTCAGTGACGGGTAGGTATTCCAGGGTAGGTACACCGGGGTAGGTATACCGGGGGTAGATATTCCGGGGGTAGGTATTCCGGGCGTGGGTATTCCGGGGGTAGGTACACCGAAGGTAGGTATTCCGGGGATAGGTATTCCGCGGATATGCATTCCAGGTGTAGGTATTCAAGGGGTAGGTACACCGGGGGTAGGTATTGCGCGGATAGGTATTCCAAGGGTAGTTATTCCGGGGGTAGGTGTTCCGGGGGTAGGTGCTCCGGGGGTAGGTGTTCCGGGGGTAGGTACAACGGGGGGAGGTACCACGGGGGTAGATATTCCGGGAGTAAGTACTGCGGGTATTCCGGGTCTCACGAACACGAGCGCGTGTACTACGGGGCGCCGTCCTACCTGCGTCGGGGCGGCGGGGCGCCATGGCCGGGGAGGCGGGAGCGCCGCGTCGGGCTCGCGCCGCCGGGCAGCTCAGCGCGTCTGCCCACAGCGCGGGCGGCCCCTGCGCGGCGCGGCGCCGGCCTCGGGGGCCCCGAAGCCCCGCAAGCCCCAAACCCGATCACGCCTCATCCCATTAGACTCCACCCGCCCCCTCGCCAAGCGCAGATTCGCGCACGGCCACACCACACCTTCCACAACGTGTGCAAATATGCCTCAGTTTACCTGAACGTCAAATGGTTTGCGAGGACCCTTCCTGGGTATCCTTAGTTGCCAATTTCTATTGTTTCAAACATTGAACATATTCGTTGAAATTTAAGTTAAAAAAAATTTATATATATATGTATGTATGTATGTATGTATGTATGTGTGTATGTGTGTATGTGTGTATGTGTGTATGTGTGTGTGTGTGTGTGTGTGTAATCTCACACTATTGAAGGGCATTACCTTCTACACCCCAAGTCCTTCGTTTCAACATAAAGGCATCTCCAAACATTCGGGATTTCGGCGCGTAGGTGCGAGGGACTGCTCGCCCAATCCAATGTCGGGTGGAGGGGGTTGCTTGCCATTTGCAGAGCGACGAACTTTCGGTGTTCGCCTAAAGGCGGCTCCACACATGCGGTATTCCGCGAATCCCGAGCAACCACTCGCCGAACCCCGAGTAGTGTGGACGAGTTGCTTGCGATTCACCGAACGCCGAACTTTCGGTATTCGCCCTACCCATCGCGTGTCAGTCTTTAGGACACATCAAAGGGAGCGAACACATCAGCTCTACGGGATTGGGTGAGTAGTCGCTGGCTGCTCGGCGAGTGCCGAATGTGTGGAGCTGCCTTGATACACAAGCAACTAATCGGGAAACCTGCGTGTGTCCGTGTTTTCTCCCGTGTTGTGGTCTCTGGTCTCTTCGGGGCAAAGATGTGTCTTTTGACGCGCGCAGGGACCGGACAATTCCCTCACCTCCCCCCCTCCGGATCCTTCCAGAGCATTCTAAGACTATTCTGAAGAAAAACAGTTTTGCGGGTTTTAATCTCTTTAAATGCATTGTGGGGGGGGGTAAAGTGTAATGCTACAGATACGTTCAATAGCTCTTTTGCTACTTGCCCAGAAGACGAAACAATTACAGCTATTTAAAATTCTTGAATAATATCCAGAAAGAATTCTAGTAAAAAGTGTTTTGTGTGTGCCAAGGTACCTAGAGTAGTGAAATGCTATAAATCATTTCACTACCTTGCCAGCATAACATGAATCGTTTCAACTTACGTCATCAGGTTGCATCATCCTAAGAATGGGAATTAGGGCTTCATGTGACCCAGGACCTAGAATAGTAGTCGAACTCGAACAGCTCGTACTTTCTCGCGTTTTTGTAACTTTTGCAATTTAAAAAAATCAGAGAGATAGACGAAAACCGGACTTAGACTATTTTTATAAGCTTGTTTTGTTCTATATGAAAAAGTCTGTAAAGACAAAATTTAGGAACAAATTGAAAATAACATCCAGATCTCATTCTGATGTCATATGGTACTGTGCATATAATTTTTAACGCAAGGATGAAAGGAAACCAGTACAAAAAGTGCAGTTCCAATTATTAATATTAGTTACTTCCGGCAGCTTCTTAATAAGCTCTCTACTATCTATCCAACGAAGACAATCTTTCGTGACTGGGACACAATGAGTGTTCAGAAATAGAAGGTTTCCAAGCCTGATTACAACGGCAGCGACAATAACGCGAACAAAACAAGATGGACGAAAACTTTTGATTGTAGTGGAAAGGGAAAGAAAACGTCAGATGGTCTGTTTCCCGCATTCTCTCCGCCGCGCCGCCAGGTCATCGCTTCGAGATTCCATCGACCGCAGCGCCCGCAGACGCCGTCGGGGCTTGAGGAGGTGAGCGGCGGACACGGAAGAGGCGACAAGCTATGGCGCGACCACGGTTAAAAATAGCCGTCTACCCAGGAAAAGTGGAAAACGGACAAAATTTGAATTTTTTGTTTTTATTGTATATGGACAATTGCTCCCTGTTTTAAATGACGTTTTTATTTCCTGCGTACCTTTGTTTTTCGGGATATAATAATTTATTTGAGATTGTACAAATTGACCAAGCTCCCTTCCCCCGAAATCTGTCAAAAATGCTTTCCCTGGATACTTGTATTTTCCAGGGCATTGATAAACCTCAATCATTGCTACAAAGCTAATAACGATAATCACGTGATTCTTTTTTATTATTAAAGCGTACAAATTAGTCTAGTACAAGAAGTAGAAAAATGACAGTAACACTTACAGATTTTTAAATACAAATTGAAAAACACCGAAAAAATGAGGTGAACGAGTGACGAATAAAAACTGGAACGCGTAACTTCTGAAATCAGAGCAATGCTTAATTGAAATACACGGCTACATAGCTGTAGCCCTTGCTGTTCCAAAATCGAACCTGCTCCGTTCTAAAATAATACGTTAATTTTTCCAACGTAAACAATATTTTGTTCTACACATAGGACGCGTTTGTTATACTCAAACCTACACTATAACTACTGTCAGAATGATAATATTTTCGTAAGAAATGTTTAATTGATTGATTAATACGTGTTTCCAGGCTTGTCAACAGCTATGGTTATTAGTTCCCGAGATGTAGTGTATGTTTTTATCCGGAGGTGGCGGTGATACTTCCCAGATGGATAGCGAAATCCGGCACCAACCTACACGTCGGCTTGCGGGGTTTCACTCAACCAGTTATCTCCCCCCAGCAGGGCATTGCCCCAGCCGA